AATGCAGTTCGATTGGACTGGAATGTCCTGAAAATGAATCATTTGATCTATACATCTGCCCGTAGTCCAGATTGAAGGAGAAACACTTGTAAAGAAATGAGAATGGCTCTTAGGGGAGCTTTCTGGTGGTTTAAAATTTTAAAAGGTCATTTACAAACAATAAAAGGAAGGGCAAATGATCAAAGGTTTATGACACTCTCCTTCAATATACTTATATTCGCTTTGGGAACTATGTGAATATGGAAATGACATTTGCAATTTTATCCATAAATCCAATTTATAGGAGCTTAGACTGGTGAGTTGAAGACGTAAAATTCTTTGGGGGAGGTTTATCTGTGCGATCCCTTGGGAACTGGAAACTTGCATACTGCCAATAAGAGAAAATGACACACTACGCTGGTCATTTTCTGAAGGAGGAAAATAAAAGGCTAGATAAAAAAGGTGCTTTGAAGTACCATTACATGCATGTCTTTAGTGGACAGCCCTGGAGGAAAGAGAGGATGCACTGACCATTTAAGAATAAGGGGCCAGTCGCGCCTAAAATCCTCGAGTCTGCCACACATCTGGAACATTTCAATAAAGGCCTTGGAGATAAGATTGACAGCTTCATGTCAGACACAATTAGAGGAATGAGAGTTTCAATCCCTGATATGTAAGATGAAAGTAAAGTAGGACAAAAGCAGAAATAATAGCAACTCTTTAGATAAAAGTGAATAGGACAGAGATATTTGTGAAATAAATAAGAGAGATCCACCAAGTCACTCTCCTTTGAACCCAGCAATGTCTTGACAACCTTAACTAACATTCCAACACTTGAGTCTGAAAAAATATCTCAGCAGAATCTTCCATGCAGGATTCTAGTCCTTATCATTATCTGTCATTTCTAAAGAGCATTATCATAGCTTGTTAGTTGATCTTCATAATACCTAAATTAAAATATATGGCGTTAAGGTTTAAAATATGGTTCTAACACGTAGCTCTTTTTTTCCTCACACAAAAAGATAGAAAGAGCTTGTAATTTAACAGATAAAAGATGCTGCATCATTAGAATTATTTAATATGTGGTTTATTTCACTTGGATTTAACTTTCAACTTAAAAGCCTTCAGATTTTTTGAGACCAGAGCTAACTAAATTAAATGTATTGGTTTATATTTCACCTCTTTCAAGTAAAGATTTGAGGTGACTTATAGCCAAAAACATGCATAATAAAACTACTAGAAATTTAAAGAAAAATTAGAACCTAAGAGAAAGAAAACAGAAAATATGACCGCTCTGTGCTTTGTGGTTTGCAAGATTGCTGTGAGTGAGTTGCAAGCCCTGCTCTAGTCTTCCTGGTAGAGAATAACTGTTTTCATTATCACGAAAAAATATTAAACCTCTACCTATGAAATGACATAGAAAAAGCACATGCTGTTTGCTTTCTTCCTTTTGTTAATATTATGGACAAGGCAGGGTCAACATTAACCTCTGCCCCCTTTGAAATACTGCAGCACTGATTGTGCCACTCAAAATGTGTTCCCAGGACCAGCAGCATTCGCATCACTTGGGAGCTTGTCAGAAATGCAGACTCTCAGGCCCCACTCCAGACCTTCTGAAACAGGAGCTACATTATTTTTTTTTTTTTTTTTGCTGAGGAATATTCACCTGGGCTAACATCTATTGCTAATCTTCCTCTTTTCGCTGAGGAAGATTTGCCCTGAGCTAACATCTGTTGCCAATCTTCCTCTATGTTGTATGTGAGTCACCATCACAGCACGGCCACCAATAGACAAGTGGTGTAGGTCCACGCTCGGGAACCTAACCCCGGGCCACTGAAGCAGAGTGCACCAAAGTTAACCACTAGGCCACCAGGGCTGGCCCAGGCACTACATTTTAACAAGATCCCCAAGTGATCCGCAAGGACATTAGAGCTTGAGAAGCACAAATCTGTGACATTAATGATCACATACTGTCTTGTTTTCACATAAATGTTTAATATCTGTATACTAATCTTCAAGTAAACTATCAGTTCCTCAGGGAAGAAACTGGCTTAATTCCCTTCTTTTTTCCATAACACCAAGCACACCAAGAACATTGTAGGAGTTGAATAAAAGTGTGAATAATTTAAAAATAAATGAGCAATCACAAAACAAAAAAAATTAGACCAAGAGGATCAAAATCAATTCATACAATACAAAATTATAGTATGGATTATACATTTTAATAATGATATTATTTTAAATAACAATAATAAAGACTAATATTTATTACTTATTTGTGACATGTATTAATAAGCACTTATTATTATCTTCTTCACAGCTCTACAAGGTAGTATTACCCCCATTTTATAAATAGGAAAACAGATATGAGATTAAACATATTGTCTAAGTCAACTGCTCAAGAGTAGTAGAACTATATTTAAACATAGGCTATCTGGTTACACAAACCAAATTCTTATCCACAATTGTCTAATGAGAGCTTCTGATGCCTGGGTTTCTGAAATAATGACATAAATCTCCAGGACCAAGTACTGAGACCAGGAGCCAGGAAAGCTCACAATGGATCAGGTGATTGGATCTGATCAAAGTTGATAAGTGAGTAGCTCACATTTTTAAACAACTGTAGCATGCTTATATTTTTGTGACTCTAAAATCACAGGCCTGCTTCTACAAATTTGAAAAGTATGTTCCAGTGTCAGTGGAGATGAGAAACAGGGAAATGAAGTAGGTAATAGGAAATAGTAAGAAAGCTTAGACATTACAATGATTCAAACTATGAAATATTTAATAAATATTCATCCCTAGAGATGTTTCTAAGTACACTCTATGTTTCCCTAGACAATAGTTGTCAAGTATAATTTATCCTCTCTACAGCTAGAGAAACTGAGGCTCCAATAGGTCAATGTGAATCAGGGGCCTCTTTAGGTGATGTGTGGACACATTGTTAAGATATCCATGTTTGTCATGATCCAATATATTTTCTCTCTCCTGTTGGTGGACAACGTAAAGAAAGAAGATAGCAGGTGTGTATCTATTTATACTGGTATAAATATGTGTATAACGAATGTTATCACAAGTAAAGGTGAGTATGTAGGTGGAAAGATACAGGAAAGTGGAGGGTGGTCAACTTCTTCTTCTACAAGAGAGAAGAGAGTACATTCCTCCTTAAGGGCTGGAACTTTGTTTTTTCTTCACAACATCCCCAGTACCTAGCACTATACTTGGTACTTAAAAGGTATTTGATAAATTTTGTTGGATAAGTATCTACTGGGTGCTTAGATAGGTACTTGAGTAGGTACCTATGAATGTGTGCTTAGATAGGTACTTGAGTAAGTACTCAAGAATTACCTGTTAAAACTTTACAACCACACATACCCGGTTTTGAATACCAGTCTTACTAGTACTATGATTTTAAGTTGTTTAACCTATCTGTACCTCAATTTCCTCATCTGTACAATGGGCACATGATGCTAACCTCATTAAGTTATGAGGATCAAGTGAGATAACGTATGTAAATTGCTTAGCATGGCCCATGTCACGTTAAAGATCCAATAAATGTAGCTAGAGATAGTAACTTTCCAGTGGGGTTGCATTCAGCCTCAGTTTTTATCCATGACATCTTAGCCTAGCTTATGATTTTTCAGACGTATAGACCTGAAAGAACCATGAGCTGACTGCCTTTTAGTGGTAGAGCCAGGATCATGACCAGCCCCTTGACTGAGTCTAGTCCCCCTTATTCACAATTCACAGCAGAAGGTCTTTTTTTAAAATAAGATATTGAGTAGTCGGGGTATCTTTCTCCATTAGAAAGCATCTCTTCCAGACTCTTACACACCCCCAAAGGGTGAGTCTGTTTCCCACCTAAACAACAAGGAAGATCCTACAGTGAAGTTGTGACCACAAAGGGCAACGTTGTCGTCTTCATTTGTGAAGAACTATATACACCATTTCTGTTGCTTAGCTAGGCCACTCATCCTTCCGTACTTTGGGAAATCACTCAAATCAGCTACCCCCAAATTCAGATTTCCTTGAGACTTAGTGTCTTTGAGTTCTTTACATTCCTTCACCTGGGCCCTAAGAGGACATATCTGGTGAACAAATTACCTGGTAACTCAAGCCTAGTGTTGCGTACGTTTATGGATGATGGAAACAAGAGGAAATTAATCCAGTGTGTCACAGGGAAGAATTAAGCCCTATAGGATGGCAGAGTTTCTGAGGTCATTCTGAGCATGACCATTGCGGTGATGTTGACAATAGGCTGTGTAGTGCAGGGGTTGGAAAACTATGACCTGTGGGCCAAATCCAACTGTGGCTTGTTTCTGTATGGCCAGCCAGCTGAGACCGGATCTTACATTTTCAAGGATTGTAAAGAAAGAGGAGGAGCAGCGGGAGCAGGAGGAGGAGAAGAAGAAGAAGTAGCAACAGAGATCATAGGTGGTGTAACACCCAAAATATTAAATATCTGACTCTTTACAGAAACAGCTTGCAGATTTCTGGTTAGACTTTTATGCTATACAGCCTGAGATCAAGTCACATCAGAACATCTAATTAGTTAAACAATCTGAGGCAAAGTCGCTCAACCACTCTACCATTCAGTTTCTTCATCTTTAAAATGAAAAAATAGTATTTACTTGTGCCTGGCACAAAATAAGTCCCTATAAGTGTTTGCTTTCATTATTTATGTTGAAGCAAAGGAAGGGAGATCAGTGACATTGGTTTAAATGTGATTTCTTTTTCACCTTCTATTCTTCATTCATATATTCTCAACACTTGTTGGCATAATACTTGGCACATAGCAGATGCTCAATAAGTACTTATTGAGTTAACGGGTGTTAGATTCTTTGATTTTGGAATGTATTTTAATTTTGTAGTAAATTCATGTTGCAAATTAAAAATATACCTGTTAGATAGTCAAAAAATGAGAATTTGGGGGCTGGCCTGGTGGCATAGTGGTTAAGTGTGCACACTCCAGTGGCCCGAGGGTTCACAGGTTTGGATCCCGGGCGCACACCGACGCATCACCTGTCAAGCCATGCTGTGGCGGCGTCCCATATAAAGTAGAGGAAGACGGGCACGAATGTGAGCCCAGGGCCAATCTTCCTCGGCAAAAAGAGGAGGATTGGCCTCAGATTTTAGCTCAGGGGTGATCTTCCTCACAAAAAAAAAAAAAAGAAGAAGAAGAAAGATTTAAAATAAAATGAAGGGGTTTTTTAAATATGTTTATGTAAATATTGTTTTGCTTATAAATGTTGTTTACAAAAGAAAAGATATGCTGTCTGGAATTTGCCTCAAAATAACACGGTTATCAATAAATAATTGAATCAATTATTAAATGGAGGAGAAGAAACAAATCTCCCATGCAAAAAAATTCCAAATATTTATGCAGATTTTCCCTCAACGAAGAGGAGCTTAACTCCCCTCTCCTTAGGCATGGGTTGTGCATAGTGACATCCCCAGTATGGAGGTGGGGGGAAAGGATGGAGTGACTTAATTTGGAGAACCTGACAAACATCACCTCAGCCAAGTGATCAAGGCCAACATCAGAAATCATGATGATAGTACGTCTCCTGGATATGACGTGATGAAATCGACCCTTTACCTCTGCATTTTCCTCCCAATAACCCATAACCACAGTCTAATCGTGAGAAAAATATCAGACAAATTCCAGTTGAGGGACATTCTACAAAATGTCTAGGAGCTGACTAGTACTCCTCAAAACTCTCAAGGTCATCAAAAACAATGCAAGTCTGAGAAACTATCACAGCTCAGAGGAGCCTAAAGAGACATGACAACTAAATACGATATGGTATCCTGGATGGGATCCTGGAACAGAAAAAGGACATTAGATAAAAACTCAGAAAGTCTAAATAAATTACAGATTTCGGTTAATAATAACATATCAATAGTGATTTGTTAGTTGTAACAAATGTATCACACTAATGTAAGGTATTAATATTGGAAACTGGGTGTGTGGTATATGGGAACTCTGTACTATCTTCTCAATTTTTTTTATAAATCTAAAAGTGTTCCAAAAATAAATTTCAAGAAAGTAAATTAAAAAATATATATATGAGGAGGGTGAATTGATGAGGGAATAGATGAAACAAAACTTGGCCCTGGATTAATAATTATTGAAATTGGGTTATGAGTAGAGAAAGGTTCATTACACTGTTCTGTCTACTAAATATGTTTGAAGTTTTCCATTGAGAAAGTTTTAAAAAATAAATAACTTTCAATAAGAAAATAAGGTTAAGAAATACATCCTAGATTACATTTTTCCCGCAGTTCTATTTAAACATCAGTAAAATTACCAACCACTGAGAAACTGTAGAAATAATAAGCTTGGTTTTGACATATTAAATCAAAATAAAGCACCTTTGCTTACTAAATAAAGTCTTCTCATGTGATTTTTACAGCCACTGCAGACAGCTGTGATCTCTGTTGAAACAGATTTGTATGTATGCATAAATTTACAGATGATATGCATCTATTTCTAATTAAATTGTTCCATATTAATATTCCAGAGTAGATTTACTCTCTTCCTTTGTTATTGCTTCATATTACTTTACCAATTCGATCCACTAAACTGGGGATCAAGCCTGCGCTAACGAGCTGGTGAGTAGCTATAACTCACAGTATCCCCAACTCATATATTTCATGGGATTTATTACATAATGGATATATATCTAGCTTGCATGTTAAAACTGAGTAAATATCAGAATAATTGTACTTGATGTTAAAAGTCTTTAAAAATAATCATGAAACAAGAGAAAATATTCTCTCTCACATAATTCATTTTCTAAGATATCTCAAAAAATTAGTCAAACTACCTAATTAAATACAATAAAATAATAATTAGTATAAGGGTAACTTACAATAATAGTAAAAGTAAATAATCCATTTTATAAATAGGGAAACTACAGCAATGAGAGGTTAAATTCAAACCCACAGAACTGGTGAGTGAAGAAGCAAGACATATAAACACAAGTCTGAACGATGTTAGAGACCATGGAGTTTTACTTATATCAGATCCCTTTCTTCTGAAATATTCAGTACAAAGACTCACACTGAAAAATCTAAATTGCACCATTTACCTATAGGCAGTCCCTCTCTTCTCTAGCATAGAAACCAGCGGGTCAATACTAGTGTTTTAGCAATTATGCCATCAAGTTAGAAGAGACGTACACAGCCTAGGTTTTGTTCTTCTTTTCCCTCAATTTCCCTGTGCAACTCATTTTTCTTTACATTATCAAAGTATTACAATCATTCTTTTTGCTGTATTATTTGATCCCCAAACAACTGTTTTCACCTCTTTTGCCATTGGCATAGTTATGGAGGTTTATAGGGTTATTGAGTTCCCTTCCTACAACAGAAGGGGGTTTTGCTATTATTTATTAAATGTGCTAGGCTGATGGTGTGCAAAATATTTGCATTCAAAAGCAGAGTTGACCCTACATAAGAAATTGCCTGCAATAAGAGTTATATAGGAGTTGCACAATCTGTATTTTCTTAATGCTAACAAGAGAAGAGTCTTGACAATGCAACGGCATGCTCTAAAATTCACTCAGTCATTTCAAACCTCACCTCTTCAATTTATACATTCAGTCATTGTTGAATGTTTATGAGACATACTTCAGGCTTGATAACACCAAGAGTGGCTAAGGGAGTAACTTACAAGTATAACGCCTGACTCCAGTTTACAAAGTTTGCTTGGGTAGATGAGACATAGCCCCAAAAAAGTTAAAGAAATCATTGAAAGTGAATAACACCTTCTACAAACAACATTGTCTCCATCACCTTTCTGAAGGGATAATACTTCACACCTGCTCCATGAAGCGCTTGATGAAAGAATGAATGAGATAATGCCTATAACCCTGGAAGCTTTCTGAACTGTTTACCATATACAGATTTTACCCAGGTAACACTTTAACAAGCTGCATTACTTCTGCAGGCACCGAGATGACTTTCTTTTATCCTGCAATATTAGTGTAGCTTCCAAGTGAAAAGGCCAGTATCTTGTCAGAGGCCTTAAGAACACGTGGAGTTCTCAGGAACACTGAATTCTAATGCCCTTTTTAATCCTCAGCAGTTTTTTGAAACTCTGCATGCTTTAGCTTCAGCTACAAAAGACCTAACAGTGATTTTCTGCAGAACAAACATCAGCAGAGAGAATAATTGTAAGGCCCTTTACAAAAACAACTGTTAGGACTATTTAGAGAGAGTCAGCAACGTACAAACTTGTCCCCACTTGCTGAGAAATCCAGGAGCTGTTCTGTTGAACCACTGTTACTCACACAGTAGACAAGCCTCCCAGCCTGGCTCATGATGGGTCTTGTCATAATTCAGCTGGAGCCACTGGTAAATATCCACCTGTCTATTACTCATTAATAGAGAGAGACAGGATGTCAGCTGTTTCCGTGACTTGGAGAAACATAGGCTTATACCACCTCTGGCTTACTCTCAAAGTAATATTAGAAACAATAAGGCAGACAAAGATAAAAAAAGGACAGGAAGACGCAATGTCAAAAATAAAAATAAATCATCATCGTCTATGGCTACAAAGATTACAGCCTTCAACTTGCTTTACAGGTTTTCATAATTCAACTTTGGCAGTTTGGTCATCTTCTTAGAAGTTGGTGAAATATAAGTCTCCAAACTGATAGACATGTTAGGAAATTTTATTCTGCTAATGCTAATGGGTATTTTGATTTTTGGTGGTTATTAACCCCCATCACTGATCTCTAGATTATATAACTGGTGCTAACTTGTGTTTGGGCAGTAAATAATTTGCCAAAATATGTTTAGTTATGATATGATTAGAGAGCTTCCAATTTGAATATTAAACAGAATTGTTTCCTGTCTTCAATTTTAATCCCAGAAGGCACTTCCTGTGTCAGTTACAACTCCAGTGATTGTAACAAATAAACGTGAAAATTCACTGGTTCAACCCAACAGAAGCTTGTCCATTCATCTAACAGTCCAGGGCGGGGTTCTGGGACAGCGGAGAGCTTTCCACCACACCGGGAGTCAAGGACCCAGGCTCTGTCCATGCTATGGCTCTCCCACTCCTTAGAACCATGTCATCATCTACATTCAGAGTGAGAGGGGACAGGGATCATGAGGAAGGCACAGCACTGATCAGATGCCTGGGCCTAGAAGTGATACACATCACACATGGGGCCTGATCTAGAAGTAAGGGGACTCAGACATGCAGTCCTGGCTGGGCAGACACTTCCCATAGAGTCTTCACCATGGAAGGGAGAGGGAGCATAAATTCTAAGGGACAGTGAGCCACCTCTGCCACAAGCAAAAAGCTGTATAGATGAGATGCACAAAGCAAAGTATTCCCAAATGCTGTCCCAATTCATTGGATAATGCCCAAAATTTTACAAAGTTTCATTTATTTAGGTTAAGACTGTGACTGCCTGTTATAAGGCAAACATTCTTCCAACTGTTCAGTTATTTACATGGTGAATGGCTTTCTGCTCTTTTGTTTATAGAAGAAATTGATAGGGTGAAAGAGACATGAGAAGATGAAAGCTTGAGGATATGGAGGGGAGATGAAGGACCAGGAGGAGGGCCATGAATTCCTTCCTCTGAGGCTTTCTCAAACCAGAAATAGCCAGAGCCCTGGGACCCTCAATGACACTTTCATCCCCAATGAAACTGCAAGACAAATTCTGACCCTTGCAGTGGAAAACTAAGGATTCTGAACTCAGTAGCTCTGGAAACTCATGGTCAGTCACACCTACAGCTGGTCAGGCTCTGGTCCTATACCCGGGACTAGTGCTTGGCCTTTTGTCAGCTGCTGTGACAAAGTCCCTGCCTTAAAAAGGTCCTATAATTGGTTCCTTACCTCCATATCTGAATAATGACTTAACTTTGCATGGCAATTTCATGAACAGTCTCAGATAATCTCTACAATAATTAATGAGTAGAGTAGGCACTATTTCTCTCTTTATAAAAATAAAGTAACAGAATCATAGTCAAATTAAGTGTTCATTCATGTCAATGCAGCTATTACATGGCAGAAGCAAGACCTGAAATCAGACCTCTCATGCCTCATCCAATATTCTTTCCACTATGAAATGCTGTCTTATTGGATATGCTTCTTCCTCTAGGCCTGGGGCATGGGGTCCTGTTTGCTGGCACAGTCTTCTAGCCCTCTCTGTGTCTAGAGTTCTGTTCCTTTGATGCCTTTATCCCACAGATAATTAATTATGGATCACTACTATGTGCCAACCACTTGATGACTAAACGAATAGGCTGATTCCCCTTACACAGGTTAGTCTATTCAACAAATAACTGTATAATTTCACACAGTGATGAGTGCTACAAGGGAAACAAATGGTGCAATATAAGAAATGCAGATGGCAGAGGTGGAGAAATGGGGAGAGAAAATCTACTCAGACAGGTCTGTCAGGAAAGCCTCTGTGAAGAGTTGACATTTAAGCCAAGACCTGAAAAATGACGAATCAAAGACAGCCCTGATGGTCTAGGGGTTAAAATTCAACGCTCTCACCGCTTCGGCGGCCTGGGTTCATTTCCTGGTCATGCAACCACACCACTCGTCTGTCAGTTGTCATGCTATGGCCGTGGCTCACATGAGAGAACTAGAAAGGACTTACAGCTAGGGTATATAACCATGTACTGGGGCTTCGGGGAGGAAAAACAAGAGGAAGATTGGCAACAGATGTTAGCTCAGGGCAAATCTTTCCCTGCAAAAAGAAAAAAAGATGAGTCAACAGTGAATAGAAAGTGGTGGTATTGTGGTGGGTGGGAGCCTCTGCATCAAGCAAGAGCTTGACAATTATGAGGAATGGGAAGGAGGCCAATGTGACTGCATTGTGATGAGGGAGAGGAGCAAAGATGAGTTTGGAGAAGTAGGCAGGCCCAATCGTGGAGCAGTTTGGATTTTATCTGATTTGCAATAGGGATCCGCTGAAGGGTTTTTAACAGGAAACTGATGTGATCACATGTATTAAAAGATCACTCTCCCTGTGCTATGGAGGCTAGAGGGGAAGAGGGAATGGATGAAAAGCCCAGAGATGAGATGGAGCTCAGAATATGGTCGCTGCAGACAGATGGAGCTCAGTGCACAGAGTTGAGGCATATTTTGGAGGTAGAATGATAGGACTTGCTGATGGACTAGCTTTGAGGAGCAAGAGAAAGAGAGAAATTAAATTTGTCTTTTCAGGCCTTTGGTTTTTGCAACAACCTCTAAAGGTGGTGTCTTTTTCAAGTGCTCACCCACCCTGATGGTAAATCCTGGCTAAGCTTTCGAATTGGGGTGGGATGGAACTTGGCCCATTTTATAATGACCTTAATTTTCAATTCTAAGATGTGTTTTTCCCATATTTTAATGATTCTGAAATCAGGATGTGTCTTAACATCAATATCAAAGGAAAGCTCCCGAGAAGAAAGCTGTGACAACTTTGTCATCGCTTGTAACTATGTGAACTTAGCCTAGGGTAGAAGGCATCTGCTCAACAGATTGTCAAGTCACCTAGATTATTTGCACTGATTGCACAACAAATGGTGCATTTTAACATGTTTTATTTAACATGTTTGCACAGAGATTACACTATAAAGCAGTCTTGAAACAATAAGGAATTGCGTACGCAGCAGAACAAGAAATAAATTAAATAAATAAAGCTGGAGGACACAAATTTACCATAAATGAACCACATATTTGACACTGGAAAACTGTTTTAACATAAAACAATGAGCTAGTGTTTTCCAGGCTCTAAAACATAAGAGCCACAAGAAGATAAACTAGGGCCGAGGGAGTGGGAGGAGCGGCTGGAAGAGCTGTCACTGAGATGCGTATAAATGTATTGCCTGTCATATGGCAGGTAATATATTAACGGCAGTACAAATTGCTCACTCCTAAGGATTTCATCACAGAATTTTCAATGCTAGGAAAGGTTCTTCTGAGCCATTCAGTTACTGAACATCTATCTGACTGAAACATTCAGCTGACTTACAAAAAAGCTATTTGAATTCTAGTGAGATGAAATTCAATTAATTGTAGTAAGATGATATGCCAGATATTTCACTTGAACTTTGATTTTCTCTGCTTTAGCAAGGAAAAAAAAGATCTTGACTGTCTTGTTGGGGGTGGGGCCCCACCCCACCACCTCCCAGCCCCAAAGAAAGCTAAGTAGACATCTAAAGTCTAAACCCTGCCCGATAGGCCATCAAGCATGACAATGAAAGAAAGAGAATCAACTCTTTGTATTCCAGAAAGTTCACACAGCCTGATCTCTGGGTGGGTGACCAGAGCTGATACAAAGCAGCCAATCTGTGTACCACAACTCTGGGCTGAGGGGCAACACTTGGCACTGAGAGGTGGTATCTTCGGTCAGGCATGGTGCTGATGTAAGACTCATTATTAGTAGCTATAATTTTACATATCTCTTTTTTTCTTGGCTCTCTGGTTCTATTCCTTTCTCAGACACTTTTCTTAATTTCTACTTTTCTTTCTCAGTTCTCAACTTCATTAATTCATTGCTTTGTCTTATATGCCTATATCGTCATTTAAATTTCTCCCTCCCTACCTGTATACACTACCTGCCTATCTGATGCTGAAAGAATAGGAGTAAAACTTAGTTAAAATGATTTTACCTGCATATCTGCAAGGAAAATCAATTATTCGTTTTTCAACCAGTGGTTTTGAAACCATGGAAACACATTTGTTTTTCTCAAATGTGTTTTTGAGAACAACAACAAACCATGCTGACCAGTGCTAGGAGCTAGGTGTGGAAATAAGCAAAAGCCAACCAAATGAGAACAGGCAAAGGTTCTTTATTCAGAACTTGCTATAGCAAGGGAGTTAGCCACTGTCACCTGGATTTTAGCATAGACTCAAAGGCGGGCAGAGGAGTGGGAAAGCTCCACAGCGGAAAAAAGGGAAGACTTCAGGTGTGCCCTGATTGAAGGCTGTTGGCATGGGGAGCTGGAGTTAGGCTGACTAGAAGCCGGGCATCCTGTGTGATTGGTTAGGGGTACATATCTGGCTTTCTCTGGTTGGTCTTATGTGGGAAACAGACACAAAAATTAGGAAGGCTGTCAGTTATTAATCAAGTCCTGGCCTTTTGGGGCCAATTGTTAGAGGAGTTATTTGGGGGGGTTTCTGGCCTGGTTGCTAGAGATAGTGATCGGACTTCCTACAAGTCTGACTTACACATAGTAGGCTGGCTTCCGGGCTGCTAACGGGAGATAATTGGTTGGCTTCTTGGGCAGGTTGCCATAGATTGTGGGTCAGAGTTCTATTTATGGTCTGACCATTATCTGTTTGTATATTTCAGTCTCTCATAGGGCTCCAGAGACCTTAGCCCCATGGGGACCAGCAGGGGCTCCAGTAGAGAATGGCCATGCTTGGCAGCAGCACCACCTCACACAAAGAGCAGATGTTTCTCGCAGCCCAGTTCCTCCAGGAAGACAATGCATAGTATTACTGTCAGAGCAGGAGAAGACACTTGCTGTGGGACTCATCCAAATAAGTAAAGAGTGAATATTTCAAAAGTACTAAGGAAGCCTACAAATGGAATGCAATTAAATATGGATCTAAGCTGAATTGGGGGCAGGGCAGGTGGGAAGAGAATATAATTCGGCAAAGCAACGAAATTTTGATGGAACAAAACTGCTGTAAGATATCTTTTCCATCATTTTTACTTTAATCATAACCTGTGGTATACCTATGAGTGTATTTAAGCAAGGGCCCTTTATCATTAAAAATGGTTTAATGTTAGAGTATCAATGATAGCCTCACACATGCGGTGTTCTTGGACACACCTCATGGTTCTTAACTAAGGTAGCATGAAATTATATATGTGCTTCCTTATAAGAATAATTACAAAAACCCAAATTCAGGAAAGTAAAATGGCACCAACATTACAACCTTAATGAAAAGTACCAACAAGCATCATATAAACAGAAAATGCAGATGGGATTGAGTATTTCCTTGAGGAAGGATCTATTCTTTCTTATCATTGTACTTTAGTTGAAGACAACATCAATGAAAAATAATTTCTTTAACTTATTTTTTGATAATTATTTGAAGACGCTCAGCAATTGCTCCAGGTTGACCTCACAGGTACCAATACTGCATTCATTGCTTGCCTATCATGAGCAAGACACTGTCAGTGTTATTCATTCTTCCTTAAATATTAGAATTCCGTCTGCTACAACCACTGTTATGAAATGTTTTCTAATAAATGTTAGAACAACGTCATACAATAGACATCATTATTCCCATTTTATTGGTATGGAAACTGAGGCTTAGAGAGGCTTTGAGCCTAGAGCAAAGTCACCCAGCTTATAAGAGAGCCAGTCTCAAACAGTTTTGTCTTGGTCTCCAAAACTCTCTCTCTTCCTACTCTTTATTTCTATGTGGCAAACTTCCTTACAGGGAAAATATTTTAATTGAACTCTTATCAGACATACCAGAGCATAAACCAAAATGGGTATTCTACTTCAAAGTATTTACTTCAGGGGGCTAACTATCTACTTCACCTTTGAACTCTTTTTCGGAAACTGCCTTCAGCACCTGTTTACAACCTGCAGAAGATCATGAGTCTCAAGCTTATATTCACCCCTCGTAACAGGAGTAAGCAGCCGCCTCCTCCGTGTGAGTGTGGGGTCATGAAAATGCCTCAGTGTCCCCCCAAATAACTCTCTCACTCACTGGGTGAAGCCTGAAACCTCCCCAATAAAAGCTTAATCCCTTTAATTTAAAAGTTTGATCTTATATTAAAATGGAAAACCCTGCAAGAGGAGTAACAAAGGATCTAAGAGCAAAATCCATCTACCAAGCTGGCTCGCTCTCACTGCAATTTATACTAACGCTCTCTTAACCTGTTGAATGCTCACTTATTCACATTTTTCCTCACATTTGCTCCTTAGTTTGAAAAAATAAATCCATGCTGGAATGTTAACATATATGTTTGCATGTACTTCCTCAAGGTAATATTTGCATTTGTATTTTAACAGTAGTAGCCGTCTGGAAATATATTCTGATTGGTAAAATTTTCAAGCCAATAATAGAAAATATTTTTCTAGATGTGTCTTCCCATCCTGATAATTACTCTTTTTCAATGTCTTGAATTCCAGGTCTTCTGATTAGCATATGGTTTTGGAGAACCAGTCCAGTTCCATATGGAAACTTGTTCTATAGGTCAAAAATTCCTAGGAAATTGGTCCATACCAATTTTTTTATGCAAGAAGAAAAGTGGAATTACTGAGTCTTTTTTATTTAGCATGAGTGGAGGGCTTTCAAAAAATAATTATTGATACAATTCATTTGTTCTTCCTTTTAGCAACCATGCAGAATTATTCATTTTACTACCTAAAACGGAAATGCCAATAAAAATCTTATTTCCAAATCATAGAATAGGATGTTTTAGAATTTAGAACATGGATGTTTTTATCCCCTTACAGGACCAAACAGAAAGTTGTAAGCCCAACCATTCAATAGTGCCTAAACAGTGCTAAGTACTTATTAAATATCTTCTTCACCTTGTGCTGCATGGAATGCATGCAAGTATGAATAGAAGAAACAGCCAGCAACTGTATTTGTGGGACCATCACCTCAAACAACAAAATAGACCATATTACATTCCCATTTGTTGCTTCCTCAACTTACGTCACTCACTTCACATCAAT